ACCTTTTTGTAATGAGTTTGTTCAAGGTGATTTGCAGGATTTTGATACTGTGTATCAATTTGGACAAGATTGTGATGTAATTACCATAGAAATTGAAAAAGTAAATGTGGATGCTTTAAAGAGATTAAAAGAAGAAGGCAAAACCGTTCATCCAAATCCTGATGCTTTAGCTATTATTCAGGATAAGGGGTTGCAAAAAATGTTTTACAAATCCAATAATATTCCAACTTCAGACTTTATCATTTTTGAAAATAAAAATGAAGTTTTAAAAGCTATTGAAGATAAAAAAATAACGTTGCCATTTGTTCAAAAAACCAGAAAAGATGGTTATGATGGAAGAGGAGTTTGTGTAGTCAATACTGAAAAAGATTTAGTGAATTTATTAGATGGTCCATGTTTAGTTGAAGATAAGGTCGAAATAAATATAGAGTTAGCTATTATTGCAGCAAGAAATAAACAAGGGCAAGTTGTTGTTTATGAGCCAGTTTCTATGGAGTTTCATGAAGGAGCGAATATGTTGGATTTATTGTTATATCCTGCTCCAATTGATGAAAATATCACTGAAAAAGCACAACAAATTGCAAAAGATTTAATTGCTAAATTTGATATTTGTGGATTATTAGCTGTTGAGTTTTTGATAGATAAACAAAATAATATTTTTGTGAATGAAGTCGCACCAAGAGCGCACAACAGTGGTCATCAAACAATAGAAAGTTCTTATACATCACAATATCAACAACATCTTAGAGCCATTTTAAATTTACCATTAGGGAGTACTAAGACAATAACTCCTTCTGCAATGGTCAATGTTTTAGGAGCAGAAGGTCATACTGGAAATGTCTATTATGAAGGAATGACAGAGTGTTTAAACGAAGAAGGAGTTTTCATTCATATTTATGGAAAAAAAATAACCAAGCCATTTCGTAAAATGGGCCATGCAACAATTGTGAATCATAATTTAAACGAAGCAAAAAATAAAGCAATATGGGTAAGACAAATACTGCAAGCAAAAAGCCATTAGTAGCCATTATTATGGGTAGTGACAGCGATTGGAATGTGATGAAAGATGCTGCACAAATATTAGAGCAACATGGCATTGACTATGAATGCACCATTGTTTCAGCTCACAGAACGCCAAAGCGCATGTTTGATTTTGCATCTAAAGCTCATA